GAAATATCTGTTGGTTCACTAGTTCTGCGACTTTCCCGTTTCGGGAAATTCGTCGTTATCCACCTTGAGTGTGCGGTATCAACGGCAAATATGCATTTGGCATCGTTTCCAATTCAACTTTGAAAGTTTATTGAACGACCGCCTGCACGGATATTACACAGCGATGAAACCATCTGCCAAAAGTCACGCGCAAGAGTGTTTACGTGAATCTTAACGATGGGGTTAGCATCATTTTACATAGAGATGAACTCATTTTCTTGTAATTCTTTTACGTCTTCTTTTTCTAATATTTGCGCATCAACGCCTATAGAGTTTAAGATGCAATCACCGTCAAAAGATATAGATTTCATCAAAAAGCTATCGGTAGAAGTGTCATTTACAGCAAATCCTCTAGTGGCCCTTTTGTATTCTATATATTGCCACAATTTTGGTACACCCATGATAAATGTTTAATCGCTGGATGAAAAAATCGTTCGTTTATCAATAGAGGAACCCGTGATGGGTGACGCATGCGTTGACCTTGGACCCGCACATGCAGAGAGTTGAGCGATGCTGACTCAAGAGCTCGTTGGGCGGGTCTTCGTTCACGATCAACCAACGAGTCGAAGTGAGAGAGCGGATCGACGAGTCGAGGATAGAGCCTACCGACGCTCACAACTTGTTTTCACTCGTTGGCTCGTTGGCTCTCATCTTCGCTGCACACCGTTACTCGTTAAAGGTGCGTCGTTCTACCCCTTTACCAACTGCGGTGGGTGTAGTGGTGTAGTTTTTTTTTAATATGAATAACGACCGGCTAATTAGCGGATTGGACCAAGAGGAGGTATGTATGTATGTGTTGTTAAAATTTAGATAAGGCTTAAAATACTTGCTAAAAATATTAAAAGTGAATTAATAATTTTTTTTTAGGCATGCTTTGTGGTTGAGTCCTCTACTCTCGAGACGAGAACTGTACGTGAGTTTTATGTGTCCTGTTTTTATAATATAAAAAAATTAAATAATAATGAAATTTGTTTTTAGATTCCATCATGGCTTCAACCTGGCCCAGCTATTCCAAAATGCCACGTGGTACCCTTTGAAAGCACTTTCCAAAGTGGAATGGTTGCTATTGTTTCTGCTTGTGATAGTATTTCGTTCAGCCCTTTACCACCGAGTATGGGTGAGTGTAATTTTTTTTTTGAGTGAGTGTGCGTGCGTGTGTGTGAAAAAAAAAATTATTTTTTATTTATTTTTAGAATTCAATCTCGCTACGATCGACGACGCTACGATCAACGACACGATCGACCACGAAGTCATCATTAACGATAATGAAACAGAGGCAGGCAGCATATATTCTCCAAGTTCTCAAAATACGCAGTTGCTGCCGGTAATAGAGACAACTTCAACTATTGTGGCACAATCAGCCGCTGTGGCACAATGTCTTCCCACCGCCAGAGAAACCTACACTCACGTGGAGACTCAGAGACAAATGCCGCATGTTAGAGAAAATACACCCGAACCCGAAACTGACTCGTCCTCAATTTCTTCGTTGGAACAACGCAGAGTTAGTATGGCAGCAAAAAATCCTCGTTCTACTCTCGCCAATTATCAGTTACAGTCTCAGTGCCAATCTCGGTCCCGGTCCCGGTCCCGGTCACGGTCCCAGTCCCGGTCTCGGTCTCAATCTCAAGAAGATTCCGATTCTTCGTATGTAGCTCCACCTAGACGGTCTCTGAGGAAGTCAGTAAGGTCATCATCAAAGAGAAAAAAATATATAAAGATGGTTAGGCGGCGGAACACAATTCCAACGCCTAAAAAATTTTATGAAACTCATGGCACTATGTGTGACATTAAAATATTGCGGGTAATAGATTCGCTCCAATACCCAAAAATACCTTATGATAATCGACCAATCTCAGAAGATGCAGCTCAACACAACAGCAGTAACGAAGAGTGTGATGACGACCAACCGATGATCATCGCAACCTCTTCAACAACAAACGCCATCAAATTGGATATAAAAAAATTGCCCCCGCAAGTGAAAATCATTATACCAAAAAGAAAAAGGTGCATATTTTAAGACCCTACTGCACAACAGCCTCGGTGCGTCAGCTTTGTAGAATACGTGCTGAAACAGGTGTGTGAAAAAAAATTATTTTAAATTTAATTAATTTTATGTAAATAATGGTTGTTTTTTTTCGTTAGGTGACGTATTATAAACAAAAAGACACGGAGGCAGTAGTCATCAAGATGGTGGCTGCTAGAAAAAAATGCCATGAACATCACCAAGAGTTTTATCGAATGGCATATTTCAAACCTGGAACCTTCAACAACATCTCGGAGGTTGTTACTACATCGGCATCAGCATCAGCATCAGCTAACTTGGTTGAAAAAGACGACAACAATATCGGGTGATTTATTTTTCGTTTTTTATTTAAAAAATTTTTTTTGTACCCATGACCATGTTTTTTTTTTTTTTTTTTTACCAGAACCGAAAGCAGTGTGGCACCGGTGGCACCTCTACTACCAGATACCTTGATAGACAACCGTGATTTTTCACGCGATGTTCATCAAGGAACCGTCATCGTGGCCTCTGTTGGTATTAAGATACGGGACCTCAAGGTTTGTGAAATCTTAGAAGAATACCACCCTATGATGACGGGAATGAAGGCCGAACATAGAACCAGAGACAACCGTTATCTCACCACCCAAATATTTGACATATTAAAAAGTGTTCCCAATCACGAGATAGACAATCTCTTTCAAGCTTTAACACGTGAAATGTTAGAAGCTGGTGGTGAACAAAATGGATATGCTATATATCTAACAACGCCCTTTGGTCAGCATTGGAGACAGCAGAAGAACATTGTGATCGGCAACGAAAATGACACACAAGAGGATCTTCAAGCAACACCAACAAGCAACATAAACTTTTACTTCAGATATGGACCGTACCCAACGTGCCGTGAGCAGATCTCACTAAATTCTGAAACCTTCATCTTCATGGCTCCTCGTATCACCCTTGTGGCATTTACGTTTTGCACACTAAAGAGTGAAAAATATATTCCAGAAAAAGAACTAAAATTACAACATCTATCAAAAGCGCTCAATTCGGCGGGTTTTCAGTCAACTTTTTTGTTTAAAAGTACAAACTTGACAGTACAGCACATTGAAGAATCTAGAGGAATGGCTGATCTCCATGTGGTGATCCTAACCTCCAATGTGGGACCAACACAACTTTTCCCTCTGTTGGCCACGGACAATTTTAAACGCATACCCGAAGCGTGCCTCAACGTTGGGTGGCCGTCTCGCCAATCAGTGTCGTTTGTAGACTATCGCGGACGAATGGGTGTGAGAAGAAAACCTGGAGATTCCAGACCAATTCCAAAATTTATATTTAAGGCAAACAACCCTCAACTCATCCTTTTTATGACTGGACCATATGGTGTAAACATCCCCCTCGAGATCCGAGCAACCTGCCCCTCGTGCCAAAACAATAGACGGAACATCGCTGGTGAAGTGAACGCTTTTGTCCCCTGTGAATGTAATCGCCGCGTCAAATATCAAATTAAAACTATGGTACAAGAAGTATTTGTTGTGATATTGCCTCCTCGCGGCGAAAACTCAAGCCAAGACATCCCACCAACGCCCTCACCCATGCCCTTGTCACCCATGCCCCTAAAAACAGAATGTGCCACCCCGCACACCCCATGGCAATGAAATAAAAAGTTTGAATGCTTGGTTTGGTTTGTTTCATTAAAACAGATAAGCCAATCTAAAACTACCACACAAAAATCCACACAACATCAGTTGCAGCAGCGGTTTCCTGACTGAACCCACCCATGAAGGACAGGCTTTGTGTTGTCTCGTCTCAACTCAAGCAATAGAACCCAATGCTAAGAAAGGAAGAAATGATGATAATGTAGGTGGTTCTTATCATGCTCCTCCCTTTTTTAAAAAAATAAAAAGGGGCAGCAGCCAAAAGACGTGTGCAGTGTGTGCAGCTCTCTACACCCGTCTCATGCTGTCTCTCGCAATTCACCTTTTTGGTTTTGAGAGATAGCCTCGTGATAGAAGAAGTTCAATATCATGGATAGGTATAAAGGTAAGATAATTAAAATTCACATATTTCAAAAAAATAAAAATCATCGGGTATTAAAATGATTGTAGTTCTTTTTTTTAGTTAGCAGAGTGAAGATGTGAGAGAGTATCTACAAGGTGGCGATGGTTTCACTGCACCAACTTCTCACGATTGCATAAAGGTTGAATTCGATTAGCAATCATTGAATAATTCGCTTCTCTGGTCTGAGATTTGCATTCGTGTTTGGATAATAGTTGGCTTCATGAAGTTTGATCGTGTAAAACTTCCAGATTTTGAAAATACATGTATATCTACATCTGAAGATACGTATGCATTTTTGGACGACATGATTTTCAAAATGAAGTAATTTCTGTTTCTCAACGAACGGTTTCTCATGAAGTCTTTTTTATTTTTTATTTGAATTCGTATTCTTGCAAGGTTTCGATGTTACTTATTTTGAGGCACTCGATTTTATTGACATTATTACAAAATGTCTAGCTATGTGAATTAATATCACACTTTTTAGCTATGTGAATGAATATCGCATTTCTTTGGGACCCGATTAAATTTTGGAATGGAGATGTAAAGTTCGAGCCTTGCTTTTGTTTGTTATTGCGTTCGTGGTTTTTGCCTTCATATTTTTTGCCGATTCTCGTGTTGATTGATGTGTTGAATTTAATTTCTTTGAACAAAAGGATACTTTCTTAGGTATTTCATCAAACCGGATTAACAGAAGTTGTTTAAGAAACTGTTGATGCTCTTGATGTTTTGTTGCGATGCTCTTGATGTTTTGTTGGCATTTGATATTTTGAATTGAAATAAATTTCCATTTTTTGTTCACCGTGAATGCCTCTTTCAACTGCTCGAGAATCGAGCCATGACTAGGCCGATAGCGGTCATTTTGAATTCATGTTGAAACCCGTGCCTAAACACAATGGGGTTTGGTCTATCGGTGGGCGGGGCACTAAAGCAATTATAATAGGTCAAGGCGTTGCAATTTTGAGAATAAAAAGAAGTATCAATTCTCTTTGCTTCCCGGTGTCCACTATACAAGCCACGCCTAATCTAAAGTGGCCTTTATTAGATGCAACCAGCTTTGTGCCCGCTCTTAACAAAATTAAAAAATGCACTTTTCTCACCCCAGTGAAAAGGTTGATCCCATTAACAACACTTCTCACAGAGTTGGGGGTAAAGATATTAAAGCACCTCTACCGTTCGTCTCGCCGATGGAAAGAGGTGGCATACAATTCCGAAAGTATGGAAAAAATTCAACAAAGAAGTTAAAATCATTATGCCAAAAGTCTCGCGTTGCTGTTAGTGATGGGGTTATGTGACAGAGGCGTGCAAAGGGAATTTTTCTCAAAACCCTCGCCACTGATGTTATTGTGGCTGAGATCGAGATGGCAAAGATTAGAAAATGAAAGCTCTTTTTTTAAACACGATGGATCACATCGCACGCCTAATCACAGATTAGAATCTTTAGATCTCCGATTTTGCTGTAAAATCTCAAACATTGCAATCGAGGCCTTTATCTCTGCGTTTCCCAATCTAAAACGCATCGATTTAGATGATTATTGCGATGTCTAAAAAAACATTAGAATTGCTCTCTCGTTTCAATGACGACGCTTTAGGAACTCGACATATCTACACCAACATAACCGACATGGCGGATATACATAATTATGTTCATGAGGAGTTGGAGGCGGTGTAAGCCCAATTCTCTGGTGGTACAGCCCCTTTCATTGATGATATAAGCAGCACCTCACCTCCAGTAGTGAGTGAAATCATCTAAAAAATATGAAGATCGTCAAAAAGCAAACAAAAGTTCACCAGGCATCAAAATGGTTATTGACTGACAAGCTCAAGCAAAACTGAAAAGAGGAAGGCCAATCGTCATACAAGGCCTCTGCCATGGGTTCAAGGTCTTCTTGATACAGAGATTGTTTTTTTTTTCACTTAAAAGACTAATCTGTTCAGAGAATGAGATAATTTGCCTCCTCGAAGCCTCGGCAATCAGCTTTTTGATGATTTCTCGTTTTGATAATTTCTTTGTTGATGTAGTCAATTACTGTTTTTTGTAAACAGTATCGAATTGTATTTTGATTATATTTGCGTAAATTGTATTTGAATAATTAATTTGATTGTGGTATTACGTTAAATGTTTGTTTTAATTATTTCAGCGCTTTTTTACCTTCGATTCATTAAATTTCTTTTCTTTGGTTTATTGTTGATGATTGTTTTAGTGGACCGCTGGGTACGTGGATCAATTTGCTGATCGAGATTTTAGCACAATTAGATTTGATTGGAAATTTCTTTTCTTTGGTTTTTTTCTTTTATTTGATTTTTTTTTGTGGACCGCTGATGGGCGTGGATATTTGCTTTGATTTTTGCACTTTGTGATCGCGGAACGACTGTTTTTTTGTGTTTATGGTGGTTTTTATTGGTTCGGTTTTCCTGGTTTTTTTTGAGTTTGTGATTTTGTCATAATTTGAATAATATCAAATCTTTTTCTCCTTTTGAATAATATCGCTGAAAAAGTCAACTATTGTTTGAGCATAATAACGGTATTATGTCAACGGAAACATCGTTGGAGTAGTTAAACGTCCCAAAGCGTTAATAGTTCATCGACATCCGCGTGACGGGTATGAGTTCATTGTTTAGACATCCGCATTGACATCTCTCTTCAAATAGAATATGCTAATTCATAAGTGGATATTTCAGTGTTGACCTTTTGAGCCCAAGATTTTAATCCAGATATATTTCAGGGTCACCAGATTGTTTACGATTCAAGATTTTTTCTAGTTTTTCGAGGGAGTTTGAAAAGAAAATAATTACAGGGTGCCAAATCAGGCGAATAGAGCTAACAATAATATGTAAAAACTTTTTTCTCAACACCATGACAAGAGTTTCGGGATGACGATTTAACCATTGCCCAATTTTTGACCATTGCCCACACTTTTGACTCTATCCGATCTTCCATTTATTTCAGAGTTGACCTTTTTGAGCCCAAGTTTTCATCATGAACTAAACCAAGTGGTTTGCAAATCTGATTAACAACCAAGTTGAGAAATTTAATCATCGATGTCGATTGTTCACCTTGCTTGATTGATGACTGTCCCAAATTTTTTTTGAATTTTTGTCATCTCTGCACTTCTGCAAGATGTCTTTCAATCTCGATATGTGAGAACCTCCCCAAGTCTCCGTTCGGTGACTCTGCACTTATATTGATGCTATTGCTTGAGAATTTTACCTCCTTTATTGACAATTTGATGTTATCCACTTTTTTTGTGAACTATTTGAATGATGTGGTTTGGTGAAAAGAGCGGTGTTTTTTTTAGACTAATAAAAGAACGAATCCGATGCCACTGTCTTATTTCTAACCTGGCAAGCTTAAGTTCGCTTATACAGATTTCAAGTCATGACACAAGTAACCTCCCAGTCCCATCGAAAATTGAAGTTTTTTTTTCACGATGAAACACGTTGTTGTGGAGTTCAAGGTTGATTTGTGATTGGCTAGCTAAAACTCTACTCGGCCCTCCCTAGGCTATAAAAATGGCTGCCACCAGTCAGCCGGCCATTGCGGTCCCTCTGCCCCTTTGAAACTGAGACAGTGAAAAATAAAGGTGGTAGTGTGCCACTACAACGTGCAGAGATGATGCAACGTGCAGAGATATGCCTTGCTGCTTATAAGACATGTGAGTTTTTTTTTTTTAAATTGAAACCAGTTAAAATTGCCTTTTTAGAGTTGTTTGTTTTATCGAGTGCAGCTGCAAAAAGCATTGCGGCCGAGAAGCCAAATGCAGATGGCAATGTGAGCGTTGATGTTGAGTTAGCAACATCTCTACCGCTACCGCTGCTACAACTACCACCATTATCGCCACCGTCGCTGCTAGCACCAGGAGCAAAAGAAACAGGCGATGGTAATGGGAGCGCCACTGCAGCAAGTGAGTTTTTGTTTTTATTTTATTTTGTGTGTTTGATATCGAGTAAGGTGAGGTCTGGTGTGTGTGTGTGTTGCAGCAGGTGAAGAAAAAGACATGGCAGAAGAAATAACCATCATGCTGATGCAATTGGCTCAAGACATCAAAAATCATCTGAGAGAGTTGGCTGAGTTTACAAAAGCTGGGGCTGTAGTTTGTTTTGAAATATTACAAAAACTGGGCCAGGTAGAAGCTTCTATTGTTCAAAAACTGGGTCTGATAGAAACTTTAATGATTCAAAAACTGGGTCGGATAGAATCTGATATATCACAAAAAGATAACCTAGAAACATTGCAAAAACTAGGTAAAACAGAAATGTATATGATGCAAAAATTGGGTCAGATGGAAACTTCCATTGATCAAAAACTGGGTCAGATGCAAACTTCCATTAATCAGATACAAGAATTCATTATTGCTCTAAGGCACCGCCATACGGGGGCCCCATTTCAAACTGAATTGAAATAGAATGTTTGGCAAGACATCTAGATCGCGGATTGCTACTGGCTGTATTTGGTCTCTTGATTGTGTGGTGGTTTGAATGTCAATAAAACACTGATAATAAAAAAAAAACTTTTTATTAATTGTTGAAAGGCAGGCAGTTCAATATAATCGAAAAGCAGTTATCATTTTGCTCACACACGTTGAAACCAAAAAAATAAACCTTAGGGCGGTTGCAGAATCTGTTAGACCAACTGAGCAGGCAGAAACCCCCAACACCAATTAATTAGACAGAGAGGCAGAGGCTCCGCCCCTATAACGCAGCACGTAAAAACGAGAGCGCGCTGTAAGGTAAAAACATAGAAGCGGGCAATTGACGCAAACATTAAAAATACAGCCAGTGTAGCTCAAAGCTCAAGAGAGCTGAACCCTTGGCACGTACACTAAGATCCATCAACGTGGGCCCACTACTCGAGAAGATAGGTCTTCAGTAGAGTAGGGATTTCCAGACTCCAAATGCTGTTCGTTTCGTTTGTTTCTTTTAAGATTGCCGTCCGGCACCTGTCCTGAAGACTAGTGTGTTCCCGTTTCAATATGCTCAGGGTCATCTCTGACATTCTAACTGTAGAAGCCGCCATGGGGAAGAGGGCATCTTCCACCTCGTTTAGACCATAGAATCCTACGCCCAGGAGCTGGTCGTCTTTGTAGAAAGTAAGCGTGCCGGCTACGCCATCAAAGTACAACCCCACACGGCACGGAACGTTCTCCGGGAAGGGGCGGGTGAAATTCCTCCAGCGTCTGTTGTGCCATAACAGGCCTTGGTGGCTCAATCCCCAACTGTTTTCGTCTTCTCCGATCAGATTTACAAAGTCATCCACGTGCAATCGAGCACTTGCAGTTCCAACACCAAACATCATGCTCGTTCCAAAGATCCTCCGAGACACTTGAATTTCCCAATAATACCTTCCTCCATTAAGCACCTGACAAAGATCAGCAGAAACGGTTTTTTTTTGTTGTTTATGTTATATATAACTATATAATGTTTACCTTGGTTCCTCTGACAGCAGCAGCTCCATAGGTTGAGTTCGGGTGAAAATGAGCAGTTCGGCCTTCGGATTCGAGAAGGACCTCGGGACTTCGGGCATCAGAATCCCATGCCCACTTGTCGATGGCACCGTATCTCATTTTTAAAGCCCTATTTTTTTGTTCTTTTCACCGCAGTAGCAACTCTCGGCACCAAGATAACAGCACTTCGCTAGCCCTAAGACTGGCGGGCTGACTGGTGGCAGCGATTTTTATATTAATAGCATAGGGGCAGAGTAGAGTTTAGCTAGCTAGCCAATCACAATCAGTTATCACAGCCAACACAGCCAATCATAAAAGAAGTTTTTTTTGATAACACAGATCAGCATACCTTGTACGTTTTTTTTTACACAATAAGACGGTGTTAGTTGACTGTTCAAACGCTGGTGCAAATAAAAATACAAAAATGCTCCTTGAATAATGACTTTTATTTTATTGACATTATTGCATAAAGTCACAAATTCAATATGGTGCTCATCTGTTTATCAATAGTTCTTGTATCTTATTCAGTTGTGTTTCTATCCGAACAAGACGATGTTCTGTTTCAACTAATTCATTCAACTATGTCATTCAAGTTCAAGGACAGTTCAAGTTTAGCTCCAGTGACCAAATTTTTTACAACCTCATCATTGATGCCTTGAGTTCCCTGGATCAAATTTTGGACACCACCAAGCTCTTTTTTGATGTCTTCAATCAAATACTTGATCTTATCTTGTTCATCACCTTGATATGATTGCAGCAACAGCATCGCTTGCAACATCCTGTTGTTTTTCTCCACAACCGTCAGCGTCCCTTTCGTGCCGCCATCAAACTCAGCCAAAACTGCACCACACCCACACACATAATTAATTAACTCATACACCCATGTAAAAAATAAAATAAAAAAATAAATACATACATTTTGAGCCGTAATTTGAGCTGCTGCAGTCCGCCTCTCTATTAGCTTTGGGATCTTGTTTTGAGTTGCTGCGGAGTGACTTGGTGGTTTTATCTTGCTTGGTGGTGGTAGTTGCAGTTGTCTTTTTTAAAACGAGAGCACCAGCTTTCAACGCTGTCTTTCGCTTCATTGTTGACTGGCTCAGGGTAGGAGAGCAGTCATTTTTATAGTCTAGGAGGGGCGGGGTTTACTTTAATTGCTTGATAGTGGCCACACCCGGGCCCACACCCACACCGAGCCAACGTTGTTTTATGTTAGGGTTACAACTTCTTTTTTAGTGCCCACTTTTTTTTACTTTCGATCGGCCGCACCCTGTAAATTGAATATAAAGAACAATAAAAACATAAAATCAGCTTGACTGGTGACACATCAAATTGGAGACAAGAGTGACTCGCCCCTCGGATTAAAGAGTAGTGCCGTTTTCGTTTCTAGATCGCACTCCGAAGATATTGGACTGTTGCCGCAGTACCCGTAGCCGTAACTGAATGTAGAAAACTCGGTCTTCGAGTGGGGGTCAAAGCGTCCCAGCGCCTTATTCAGGTTCAATGTGATCTTGTACTCTTTGCAATCTTGCACCGCGTATTCCAAGAGTTGGCCCTCACAGACGCGATCGCCAAAGTTGTTGAACGTGTTAACGGGTTTGATCTCGTCGTTGCTGTACACATAAAAATAATCAGACTCACCGCCAAAATCACCAGATTTACCGCCGGAGAATCGAGTGCGCACCGTTACGAATTTAAATGCACGCTTTAACTCTTCCACGAATTCGTCTGAGAACGCATCGGGATCGAAGTAGATGTTATTCTTGTTGGCGATCTCGACCGCGACCTTTCGAGCTAATTTGCGCTGAGCTTCTGCCGTCGACTCCAACGTGAGCGGACGAACATGGAAGACCGGTTGGACCGAGGGTTGGGTACCCCTTTGGAACACGTTGACCACGAGGCTCACGCGAATCCCACTTTCAACGGTAATGACCCGGTGGTGCAAGGTCGACGGGAACGCCACGTAAGCAGGACACACCGACATGTCAACCTCGACACCAACGGAGGGGAACGCCATTCCGCCTCCCCGCAGCACTCCAAAAGCGAACACCACAACCAGTGTACCAACGAGATCGGGTAGCGGCGAATCTACGTGCGTTTCAAAGAATCCGCTGGGTTCGTACAGATTTATCTTGTACGGCACCACGTCGATCGGTCCATCAGAGAATGAGAATATCGGGCGGGTCGCCGCACTCATCAGATCGGGTTTCACCCGCTCGAGATCCACGATGACAAACTCCTTGGTGGATCTCGAATTTCGAACGTTTGCGTCAAACGTTTTCTGGTTGTCTCTCGAGAAGTAGGATGGTTCGAATCGCTCTCGCATGAAATTCACATCCTCTTTGGTGAGATCTAAGAGGTTCACCTTGCGACAGCTAAACAGGATCACATCGAACGCGGACGCGGGCAGCGGCACCAAGATGCCGAATGTAATCTTCGAGACGGCGTGTAGATCCCGAACGATATCCTCCATGACAGCAAGAACCACAAACAACCACCGCTGTTATTTTGCGAGTGTTCGGTAAGCGAGAAGCTGATCGCAACCGTGTTCTCACAGTACCCCTGGTGGGATCTGTGCGAACTACTCTGTGCGTTTCAACCAATCTCTGACGGTTTTTTCTTGCGGCGAGCGCGGCAGCGAGGTATCAAACATCTTTTTTTGCTATAAAAAAGACGCAGCAGCACAGCATTTTTTCATAATTTTAAAGCAGATATGGAATCCTTTGTGAAAGTGCTATTGGCTGTTTTAATTTGCTCTCAAGGACTTTGCTCTCAAGGACCTGAAGAAGAACCAGCTGAAGATGTTATGGAAAGGAGTAATCTGCAATTCTCTATCGATCTCTATAAGGAATCGGTAAAGAAAGAAGAAAACGTGTTCTTCTCTCCCTGGAGCCTACAAACTACTCTGGGGATGGTGTATGCTGGGGCGGAAAAAACAACAAAATCTCAAATGCAGAAAGCTCTCTCTTTTCTAAACAACTCAAACGATCTCATCTACAAGGGGCTCTATCAAAATCTCATCAGTATCCAAAATACCACGAATAGAGACATCAGCCTGGATGCTGGCAACAGGGTTTACGTTTCTAACGATACGACGCTGAATCCCAAATATCATGATATTTTGCAAAACACTTTCCAGAGTGGGGCGAGTGGAGTGAATTTCCAGAATGAAAATATCTACAAATACATCAACGCCTGGGTTCAGCAAAAGACTCGGGGCAAGATCCTCGAGCTCATCCCCAACGGAGCCCTAGGACCAGAAACAAAGATGGTGCTGGTGAATGCCATTTACTTCAAGGGGCACATGGATGACTAAGTTCAAAGCCGAAAAAACTTTACCGTCCGACTTTCACATCTCGAAAGATCGATCTGTCAAGACCGATATGATGAAATTAGAAACTCAAATCAGGGTTGGCCATCTCGACGATCTCAAACTTCAAGTTTTTGAACTCCCGTACGAAGGTAACCGCTTGAGTATGATCGTGTTTCTACCAGAGGAGAATGATGGCCTAAAAGAAGTGGAGAAAAAATTGACAGCAGATACATTAAAAAGAGCCATGAAATCTTTACTTATTCACACCGTAAACCTCACTTTCCCCAAATTCAAGATTGAACATACCCTTCCCGTGAAGGATCTCCTTATCCAGCTGGGAATGAGAGATCTTTTCAGCCAGAATGCAGACCTATCAGGTATGACAGAGCAGCGGGACATTCAGGTTTCCGACATTTTCCATAAGGCCTTGGTTGAAATCAACGAAGAAGGTACCGTTGCAGCTGCCTCCTCAGGGATGGTGATAGTCCCGCTGTCCTTGTCGTATCGATATTTAAAGAAAAAAATCGTTGTCCGTGCGGATCATCCTTTCATCTTTTTCATCTACGATTTCAAGACATCTCAAGTCTTGTTCATGGGTCGAATCATGGATCCTCGACCGGAGTCATCGCGGACTAAGAAAGAGGCAGACGATATCAACAACAGACAACCATTCTCAAGCCACGTATCTTCCAATCCTTCCACAGCCAGAATCTATACGCAATGGTTCCGCTCGCCTCAACATAAATGGCCATACATGTACCACCGTGTGCCTAATCACCAACTCTTCCGCTATCGTTCTCCATATATGACAGAAACTGGTTATTTTTTTAAGCCTTTCTGAATAAGAGACCACATATTTTAAAATAATGCTGTTATTTATTCTGTTAAAAACCTAATACATGGGGCTATTTCTTTCTACGGGGTTGGTTTTGGCAGGCCTCGATCGACCGAGTGAGGTAACAGAGCGAACGAGAGAATTAACAGCGGACGATGCAGGATATTTTGCTTTTAATCCTTCGATCCATCCAATCCATAACGGGCTCTTGATGACACAAGCCACTGCTGCAGGCGTGAGTGGTTGACGCGTGACATTAACATCCATTGCCCTCGCTACACTATATCGGAAATATTGTATACCCCTTACGCAATCGTTTTTATTGATACATTGGGTGATCGGATAGACGTCACTGTCGGTGGCTGATCCAATCACCAACACGAACTCTTCGTCGATGGGTGAGGCGATAGCGTCTGGCAAGATCACCACTTCTTTGTAATGCGAAGAAAAATCTTCAAAGACATTGCCGCTTTCAAATAAATAAATGCCCGCGTCTGCATTTTGTGGTATGATGTTTTCTCTTAACTCTACCGTTGTGTACCAGTTTTTTTTATTATTATCTACGCTGAGCAAAACCGGAAATTGAAATACGTTCACCCGTAAACATGTGCCGTTGTTTTTAAAATCAGCGATTCCTGCAATAAACATGGGATGGTTTCCCCATTCTTTTATAGCAAACGCAGTAGAAGTTGAAGATATGTTAGATGTTCTGATGCACGGAAACACGTTACACGACAGAGAGGTAGACGCATAACCCACTCCGATGGTTTTGTTATTGTCGTTAAATACCGTCCATGTGTTGTCTCGTCCCTTCATGCATGTAGAGGGTCTAACAGCGATGGCGTATGATTTTGGTGGATAGTTTTGGATGTAGATAAACCCTATCGGCAGCGGGAGAGCAGCAGCAGTGGGTTTAGTTAACATGTCAAACACATGCGACATATTTATATTCACATCGCTACGGTAGGGTCTTATCTCTGATGTCTCAACCTTTTCATCTACTTCAGACGTAGACGTGAGAGCTTCATAAGGCAATGATGGAGCCAACATTATTGTGTACACCCTTTTTTAATTTCTAACAATGGAATGTCGCACAATATAAATCATTCAATAAAACAAACAACATGGCCACGCCGACGCTCTAGCAGAGTGTCTTCTGTGGAATAACCGTGCTCACTTGCAGTTCTCCATCCGATCCCATCTCCACTCGTGTGGCGTGGCGGTTCTGCAGCTCCTTTTCCAATATGCATATTCGCTGCTTTGTGATAGTGGGCTTGGCGTTCGTAGCGATCATCAGCATGGACTACTCTGCCAAGATGGTGTACGTGTGGGCCTCGCCCGGAAACATGAGTTTTTTTACGAATTTCATCGGATCAACCATCCACCACAACGAAATCAAAACGCTCGGCATCTGGGAGTTAGGTATTGGGCTCTCCATCGCTGCTACATACATCTCTTCTCCATTTGTTACGTCAAACCGAATTTTCTTTCCCATTTTGATGCTGTTTACTGCCATGGAATCGGTTGTTTATTGCTTTCATGGTGGATGTTTGTTTTATCTCGATGACGCCGTCCGCACCATCACGCGGGACGCTCTTATCTATGAAGGTGACGCAATGATGTACAACAACGCAGACAACGAGTGCTCCACAACTCCATCTATCTATGCAGCTATAGAGGATGCCTTTTTTGTTCATATGGCTGGCGCCAACGAAAATACATCTTCTGCCACGGACGACGGCTTTTTCTTTCACATGCTGGAATCTACGCTCTCTTGCTGTGGCCCTCAATCTTCAAACGATTATTTTTTTCACGACCTTGACGTGCCAGCTTCTTGTCTTTCTAACGTAAGCAGAACCACCCTTTCCACAACGAGATATACGTACATGGTTCACACCCGAGGATGCGTACAGGCGTATGTGGAGTTCATGAACGAGGGCCCGCCAAAGGCCTGGGCGTTTCTACTGATCAAGATCACGTTTTTCACCGTGGCTTTAAACGTCCTATTTCAATCCTTCATGCTGATAACAATGATCATCAATCAGCCTTCAGTGGTGTTGAATAAAAAAACCATCGTGTAAAAAAAAAAGCAAACAACCCCTGCAAAGAATTCAATTGTATTTATATATTGTATCATCGCTTCGGCTAAACAGAAGTGTATCTCACTCCAAGCTTATTGCATGTTTGTTGTAATTCATGAATAAACGAGTGAAAATACAACGTACAAGGCATTTCTCGATAATTTCTAATCCCAAAACGAAACGATAACGTTATGGGACTCGAGTTAAACACCAATCTGTTGTCAAATTCTAGAAAAACCATTTTGCTTTCAAGCTGAGCACCATAAACCGACACACGATTGGAGATGGTAGACATAACCTTTTTGATCTCAGATAATTTCACAACGTCATGAAGTAAGAGGTCTGCGGTTCCACCCACGAGAGCAACATATCGACGTTGATTTTCATTTTGTTTAGCCATGTTTATCGTAGCTGCAACGTTGTAAAGATCAACCATAAACGTTTGAAAGAGTTTGCAGTCTCCTCCATCATAAACAACTTTTTTCAATTGCATAAAATCTCGTTGTATCGGATCGAGTGGCCAACCGTTGTAGAGCGCTCTCATCTCACTCATAGAAGAAAAATTATGTTTCACAAACGATTCGTCGTTGTTTAGGATGAGCCTCGCGTTGGTTTCGAGACGCGTGTTTGGACCCCGAGCGTGCAACGCGCACAGCGTCCTCACGTCTACGTGGAACTGGTGGTCAGCCTTTAGAGGCGGCACGCAGCTAACGTGTTGCAACGACGAAAGATACCTTCTTAGGTCTTTCTCGTTAACGCTATTTGGCATGCAATTATATCGTATCGCCAGATTGAGCAGAACCCTGAGATCGTAATTGTCGCTATTCCACCCCATGATAACCGACGGTTTTAAGAGCTTCACCAGCGACGCATACACCAAATCGCTCTCGCTGTCGAAGATGACGGTTTCGATGTTGTCAATCGTTCCAACGTTGACCACGGGATCGTTGTAATCATCATTATAGTTGCTGCTGCTCAAGATGTTTGACAGACGCATAGGTGTGAAACCGTTGTCCTTTAATCTCGGCGGTCTCAAAACGTACACCGTACGTTTTGATGGCCCTTCGATCTTTAAGCTGCTCCGATGATCAGTTGTTGTTGCTGCTTCGAGATTCGTGGGTGGCAACATCAGCGGGTGTGGCGGCAACGTCATGTATGGGTTTATCGTTAACAGCGACCCATCGTTGCTGGTACAAAACACGCCTAAGGGCGTTTGAATTTGACGGTTACAACCCCGAGATTTCTTTATGCGATCGCATCTTTCAAGGCCAAACACGTGAACCATCGTTTGAACGAAATCGTTCCATGACAGGCTGTCGATGTTCCATTTGGACACCTTGGATGTGTCAAACCGAATCGCGATCTCCATGTTAGGCGAAGACCAAAATAGTTTTTTCAGCGCCAATACCTTGTTCACCACGTCTCCAAGGTTGCGAACCCGATGAAGATCGTCTGACTGATACATATCTAATCCAAGCTTTGACAACGAACGATGCAAATGTAAAACCACGGGTATAATGATGCCACCACCACCGCCTCTTTTACCAACGTACCGATAGGTGTTAAAATAAGACGCCATCTGCTTCGACAGTCCTTCGAAATCCACACGAATATTATTAGACTGGCCTCCAAAGAGAACGTTAAACAACCTCTTGTTAGACGCAATCCATTCGTTGTGTCCTTGCCAGGTTAAAAGATTGGCGACACGAGACTCTTGTTTAAATATAGCCGCCTCACGGAGTTTTTTTAAGTACGGTCTGATGAAGTCTTCTCGGTGTTTGTATTTTCTCTTTTGAGTTGTAGTAGTAGTAGTACTTGTTGTTGTTTCAACTGCTGCTGCTGCTGCAGCTGCCAATTCTACAAAATCTCGTATCCTGTTTTCTACGTGGTCCATGATCCACGCGTAAACGTCCGCCTCGATGCGATTTTCTTCTTCGTTTATGTTAGGATCCAGGGGAACCATCATGTTAGTTTTCACTGTAGACGACTCTAGAGACGTGTTCATGCAACAAAGAGGGATTATCACGCCTACCGATCCACGAGATGAATCAGAGAGATATCTCGCTTCTAACTTGGTTACGAGACGCGACATCATTCCGTTGGGATCCTTATAATGGTTGAGGGGTTTTATGGTTTTGTACGAGACCCCACCATCACCTCGTTCGTTGATCAGATGAACCAAACGTTCTAGCCAGCGTTTGCATCGCTCTCGTATGAGTTGAGCAGAATGCACCCCGCGCTGCAACCGTCCTGCTCGGATATCCATCAACACGTCGAACACCGTACGATGGAGTTCACCGATGGCCGATATCACGTACCCGGGTACGCTATTCACCGGAAGTCCTTTCGCCACGATACCACCGTTGCTCGTTAATTGCGTGTAGATTTTTTTTTAGCAACCACCATCAAGGGACAAACCTGCTCCACTTTTACCTGTAACACATTGTTGCTCTGCGTTGTCTTAGAGATATATTCGTTAAATCTGCGGGCCATGCTGTAAACGTCATCGCCGGGTGGCATCGATATACATATGCTGTCAGTATCACCCATGACGATTTCGTATCCCAGGTTCGAGAGGTACTCGCCGCCCAATTGAATCACGCTACGTCCGTGTGCCGTTGTGGCCGCAGCGCACATAGGATCGTACAAGAGAGAATTGTTTGTGCTAAATTGTCCATACACGGCGTTAGCCTGCACCTTTGTGAACTTATCTACCACCGTATCTCCTCTGGCTCGAGCATCTTCTCGCACTCCAAGCAGGATCTGTAGGTATAGAGCCACCGACGAAGGATACAAGACGTTCTGTTTGGGGGTTAGCATGTAGTGATGACAGACAAGGTTTTTGTTGTTTGTTTTTACGAAGTCGTTACATTTCACCGAATGGAAAAAAGACTCATCGCTCGACATCATCTCAGTTTCGGGAAC